ACGGAGAAACAGTTCAGTCTCCGAAACATTGTTCTTAAATAAAAAAAAAACAGGGTGACGGATGTCAAAAAAGTCAATAATTGTGTCAATGCTATAATGATGGGCACCTGTGACACTATTTAGGTTTATTTCTTAGCCAATCATATACGAATTTTACAAATATATAAAAGCACTTTCCTCAAGTTTTCTGTTTCTCTGTCCCTAGCCTGGTTATTATGCAACTATCATGGGTACTGTAGAGCAAATTACGTATATCTATATCGAACATTAATTTTTAGCCTGGCTGCTGTTTAATGCATCAAGCGATCAGTCTGTGGCACCACAGCAGTAAGTAAAGAAAAGCAAGTCAGTTGGAGTATGTAACCATAAGACACTACAAATAAATGAATGTAATTAATAGAGCATACAGTTTATTTTAAGAAAGAAAGCCGGCACTTAGAACAGGTTCTTGAGCCAGTGATTATTAGAAGTTCAAGTCGAATCAAAGAATGAAGGAGCCACAATACTTTTATACTAATTCCTACCCCTTACAACCCTTTTTATATTTATAGTTTATTCAGTCGTCTCTTTTTTGTCTAAAAGGCGATGTCTAAAGGCATAGTGTCTTTAAAGAAAGCTTAACACTTTCTGTGGTCTTTGTCTTCGATTTTGGCCTCATTGTAGCCCAAAAGTTTTCCTATAAATGTAGCCCGAATATTTCCTTTGCAGGTTTGTCTGAGTCTAACAGCGTACAAATCAATTATTTGGAAAGGCACTGGAATCCCTTTTTGAATAACAATACGTATCGGCGCCGAAAACAACAGCTTTACATCAAAGACGAATTTTATTCAATATGCTTCATGAAATTACATCATGGGACAACTCAGTTCACAGTGAAATGAGCAAACAGTAAATTCTTCGCATTACAGCATCAGTGAACAATACTGTCACTGAGAGAGACGCAGGAAACGTAAAAATACACCAAAAGCTCAAACGGAATGGGCCTACATCCATAGAGCTGAGTGATTGAGAAACATATGTAAATGTGTGCAGACATGCAGGAACCTCTAATTTCAAGCCTCAGCCTCATGATATTCCACGGATGAATCCACAGTCAGCAACATAAAAATCCTGGAATAAATTCATAATTCGTGACTACAGAGGAATAGTAATTTCTAAAAGGGGGCGAAAAATATGAACCAAAAGCGGTGCTTTGTGCGAGAAATGGATGCAACCACATGCAAGTCAGAGCGTAGGAACTAACACAAGAGACGCCATGATTCGAAGCTCCTCCACAACATAGAGGTTACGAACTTACGTAACTTCTGCATTCAACGTCTATCCGAAGTGACCAAGTTAGTTAATAGTACTTTCATCATGACAGAAGTAAAGCGCACGTGAACGACCCACAAACACTTACTGCAATTAGTAGTTTGTTTGTAAGCTTCATTACAACCTGCTGTGCCGTCACAACGGACAAAACGTCTGGAAACCTGGAGAATAACTTCCGAAACCCGAGTAATGAATGTGGGAAGAAGGAAAAGGAGAGGTGACGAAATATAAATATAAGAGAAAGACTTACGAATTACAGTCCAAATTTTCTCCGAATATTTTACCGATCTTTGTCTTAGGGTAGAGACAGCTCACGAGCAAATATCATTTGCCTTTCAGTTTTCTTTAAACATGTGTCTGCCATTATAAATTATATGATGTTCATACTACCAATCAAATAATAAATTATAATAAGTAAATAAAACTAAGATCACCATCGCTGAGGGGAGAACAATGGTGTGCATAAGCTCCAGTGTGCAGAACTCGGGAAATGTTTTGCACATAAATATTATACCAGGGCAAAGGTTCCTCCTGACCTCGAAGTATGAACACCATGAAGATGCATGAAAGAGTGGATACATACTTCCACTCATTCTTAACCTTGCACTGGACTGATATGGGTGATCAGCTTCATGTTGCGGCCGCTTTGCCGCAGACACTCAGTCTGGCTGAATGTTGCGTGGAACCCATCTGGACACGGGGGGGGGGAAGAATATATTGTAACGGATTTGATCAACGTGTTGCCAGGCACACGATCCAACATGCAACAATAGATGAGGCTGTGTTTTCTATATCTTCCGCGCCACGCCCAGTGTTGCTAATGGACCAATGAGCTCGCAGTGTGACACGTGACACGTGTTTTCTATGTGTGGTCCGTGCCGAGAGGATATTGGAGAATGCGGGAATGAGAATTCACTTCAACCCGTGTGGAGGCGGGGTCGAATACCTCCACCGTGACGCAGCGAGTCGCAAGAGGCGATGAAAAAGGAAGTCTCAAATCTGAGACAGTAAAATAAGGTCACAAGTGCCAAGGGTTCATGCAGCGATAAATAGTTACGGGGGGACACCGAAAGCACGGAATAATTTTTTCCCTACCCAATAACAAATGCATTATTGTAAAGGGGCACGCGGTAGCGTACTTGGTTGAGGCACTATACTGCAAGCCGGAAGGTCGCGAGTTCGATTCCCGATGAGATTGAATTTTTTCAGCTGACCTAATCCTTCCAGCCGCGCTATGGCCCTGGGGTCGGCTCAGCTTCTAACAGAAAAAAGTACCAGGAATCTTTCTGGGGGCTAAAGGGCGGCCGGCGAGTAGGGTTGACAACCTTACTGCCATCTGTGAGCCGGTTGTCTAGAAAATGTGGGAGCCTCGACCTCTCACGCCCCTATGGGCCTCCGCTGCCTGTTACAGGGACACCTTTACCTTTTACAGTATTGTAAACATCTTGCTTGGAATGTAATTCAGAAGTGAACAATTTTTATGTAAGTACAATTTGAGGTTTTCACAGGGGTGGTCTTCTGGGATATAACACAATGTAGATCGTTAAAAGATAACCGCCGTTTCGGAGAAAAATATCGCTTCCATCTTCAGGGTCTCTTCCTCGGCTTATTCGACCCTGAAGATGAAAGCGATATTTTCCTCCTAAACGTCGGTTAAGTTTCAGCGGACTACACGGTGTTATATGCCAGAAGAGAGTACTCTTCAATTTTTGTGTAATTTTGAATTTTTACTTCAGTGTTCTTTTACGTATTTCCGTTAAGTTTTATTCAGTACACGGGCATTTTTTTCCCCTTCCAACGAACATTCAGTTCTTAACAAGGCCAATTATTTCAAAATGATTCACTTTCACCAGCTGAGTGAAATATTAGTGGCTTCTAGCTTACATCTCGATTAACATCTTTAATATATATGGCTTCTTCTTCTTAATTTCAACAGAACCGGTCAACTTTTTATGCTTCAGTTTATCAAAAACTGCGAATGAAAGCGTTCGCTCCGAACTGAACGGTTTCATTATCGGACAGAATAATATTAACTTCAATTTACTTTCCTTTAAAGAGAACGAAAATATGTAATGCAAATTGCTTTCACGTTATAAAAGCTTGCTGCCTGAACTGGACTACACCCGCAAAGCATCTGCTTGTATCATGGTTGGCTGTTCCCTTTAACACGCTCGGCTGTTCTCCATTTTGTTCTATCGATTATTATTTCTATTCAAACTACAAAATCTTGGTATTTCACGCTTGTTCAGTCACAAAATAATCATCACTGCGGTAGCGGAACCCGGAGGTTTAATGCCGGTGAAATCAAAGTCAGGCATTGGGCACGATTCTATGTCCGTTCAGACCACCTCGCAACTTGCATTCATAAGCTCTGTCGTAACGTTATCTAGCCATCTTTTCGAGGTCCTCCAAGTGGCTCCTTCCAGAGCGCTTCTCCAACAAAATTAAGTGTGGATGAAATGTGATAAGGGAAGGAAATTGTAAAGATAATATATTTAATAACGTGTTTATCATAACATTTGTAAAAAGAGGAATTCTAATAAGAAGATTAAAAAATGGAGCGGAAAATCATGTTCGGAAATTGTTTCCAATTGCTTCCTTTGTGATTTCGTGTATTTTCCTTGTCTTTGCTCTCACTGGCTTCGCACAGAAATTTACCGTTGCCAGAAAAGATACCATATTGCAAAGTTATAAACTGTTTTCAATTCCATGTCGTTGCAGGTAGCAACCGGGAAAACAAACTTTACACCTTAACGAGATATAAGATTGTGTTTTATGTCAGTGTTCACTGCGTTCATAAAGTCATTTAAAAACCATGAACTCTGATTTGAGCTCAGTTCAAACTAAGAGCAACAGCGGACCATTACGGACCAAAATGAAATTTGACCAACAACTGTTCGCGCAGTTCCCTTATCAGATTTCATCTTTATGATGTTCTCATTATAATGAACTCCATGGGGCGGCGTTACTTTTCAGAAGATAATGGTCACTTGGTTTTTCATTTCTATGTATACAAGATTCCCGCCGCTGAACAATATCCTAAGCCAGATGAATTCAGTCCACATCCGCATGTCGTATTTTTTTTTTAACTTTCATTTTAAAATCATTTTCCCATCTAAGCCTAGGTCCACGAGGAGTCTCTTCCATTCAGGGATCCCAACAATACACAAAGACAGAGCAGCTGCCCAACAATGTAAATCCTGCGTCAATAAGTGTCATTTATATTTTCCCTAGAAATATACCTGTGACGGCTTCCAGTGCCTATCATGGTGGCCGTGCGGTCTAAGGAATGAACTGTTTTCGCTCACTCAGACACTGGGATCGTGGGTTCGAATCCAACTCAAGGCATGGATGTCTGTGTGCGTTTATTCTGTGTTATTTAGGTAGCCGCCTTACGACGGGCTGATCCCCAGTCTAAGGAATCCCTGCCGACTGTGTATAGGATTAAGAAATTGAAAAAGCGGCCAAGGTTCAACAAAAGGACTGCAGAGCCACAGATAGATAGATAGACAGATATACAGATGAATGAAGTGATAAACAGAGAGACAGACAGACAGACTCCATTCAGTAGCTTGTAGATATTCGTGTGGGCAGTCTTAGGTTGCCCTACAACTCGTTATCTTATCAGCCCTTTGGCGCAGATCAGCCGCACCATGAAATAAAAGGACTGTGTCGTTTCGTATACTTACTCTTTGTCCTGAGCCGGGTCCTTTGGGTAGCGGAGTCGCAGGTTTCTTCTGATGTCATTCGTCTCATTAACACGCCTGCTGGAGCTCAGTGTAACCGGTAGAAGCATGGCGGTCTCTGAAATGAGAAACACCTTCATCAGTAAAACTTTAATACGAACATTGTCATAATGACAATTTCGTTATGTCCGTTAAAACGATTTTGAACAAATTATGCACTAAATACAAAATTTTCGAAGACAGTCTCTTTTTGCAGACCGAGAAGTGAGTTGCGTGATGACAATCAGATGAATTTTAAAGCGCTGCGTTGTGAGGGTAGGAAGTGAGTCGCAGTAGTTCAGAATCCTGTTCAGCGACGGAATTTTGTACAGGGTGCTTCAGAAAGAATGGATGGATTTCACAGGGCAATAAAATTGATAAGGCTTCATCAAATCCAAATTTTATTGATACCATCAGATTCGCTAACATATGCAGTTTATTTGTGGAATATAATATCATCCATATGACGTCCTTGGCTTCTGATACAGACTTCGAGGCGTTTTCTGAAGTCATTCTTCACTCTCGCGCTATCTGGAGGAATCGCCGCGATTTCTTCTCAAATCGCTGTCTTCAGCTCGTCCAGTATATGTGGTCGATGTTTATAAACTTTCGCCTTCAAATGGCTCCAATAGAAGGAATCGCAGGGCGCAAGATCGGGCGAACGTGCGAGCCAAGGAATGTCACCGCGATGCGAGATGACGTTAGGTTCAACCAAGGTTGAACATGTGGCACGAAATGAAGCTAACCACCGCAAAATTGTGTTCCGAGTATGAATCCTATCGCGACGTCGGGGCTCAAAATGAGTGCTAAAGGCACGTTGAGTGGCGATCACAAACTCTATTTCTCAAAAACGTCTCTACGACGAACCAACGCTGTGCACCCGACCACTCCATGTTACTAACTGAACCTGCATTCTCCCACCGACCCAACGGTCGGCACCCCCACTCTACGCCTGCCCCCGACGCGGCGTAACGGTCGCTTGAATACCAACCATCCTTTCTTACGCACTCTGTATAAGCGGTTCTGAGATTTAGAATTACGACATAATTTTTAGTTAAAAATATATACAACTCAAAATAACACTTACATGGACTATTTTCAACAACAAAAAAAACTCGGTGGTCTGTAGTCTGCAAGCGAATTATACCGACAGAGCGACCGCCGCTTGTCGGCGAAGTCAGTGCCAATTTCTGCGGATAGAGGGTGTCACGTAGTCAGCGCAACGGATCCCCACGGCCTTTAGTTTCGATTTTTCTTGAACGTGTATGAATTATTCAGGTTGCTTTCTGATACTCTTCTATTTGTTGAGACAGGGAAATCTACATGCAATGGGGATGGGCAGGATCGTCCTGGGAGCTTTGGAACAGATATGTGAGTATTATATCATATACGTAAGCATAATACAAGACTAATCAAATTCTCGTGACTGAGCTGTCAGTTTGAGTGACAAGCATTCCAGTAGACAGTGTTCACTTGTCGCTTTCTCCGTCAGATTCATTGCTACTCCATTCAAGACTGCTGTTTGCCCTCCGATTATCCCCAAGTCATTTTGAATTTACACGAGTTGTCAATCGACTAACTAACTAACTTCACAGAACAGAGTTTTTCTTGTGAAGCTAACAGTCACTCAGCTAACAGGAAATCCCCCACGTCTTATGGAAACTCAAAATTCATTATCGTCTTAACAAGACCTCTCTGCCATTGGATGATATACAGAGGATTGGGATTCTGCGTAGGCCAGAGATACACAAAATCCCAATTCTCTCCACAACGAAATCAATGGGCCCTACTGCAATACAGCCCCCTCCCCTTACACACACACACAATTTATTCAAGACTCAAATTTGTAACACCGTGATGTTACCTTTGAGATTCGAGTTCTCTGTGTTGTGACATCGTGTAGTTTGGTCGGTGGTGGTGGGCGTATCGGAGGAATTTGTTGCCTCCAGGATAGAAGACTGAGGCAAGAGATTCCTTCGGAAGGCCGCTAACCGGCCACATGGTGCTAGAAGTCTGAATCTTTGCCGTATATACAAAAGAGCCTGTGCTTTTAAATATTGTGACATGTAGATGCATTGCTAGGTAGCGACCGCAAAATAAGCAGCCTTACAGGAACCGTTGCTAAGTAACGGCTTCACAAACCAGCATGTTTCCACGGCAAAAGTTGCACAGCGACAAAATATCGGTGTTTTCTATGCGGTCCGTGTCGAGATGTTACAAGCAGAGCAGTTAGTGAGCGTTGAATTGGGTGGTGGGTAACTGAGTTAGTGAACTGCTGATGTTCGGTCGTTGTGAGCTGTTGCTGTGAGAAACCGGCAGCTGAGGCCGGGGATATTTTCGAAACCCAGAGGAAGGGGAACGTCCGCCGCTGCAAGCCGCCATCGAGCAATGACTATTGAAGCTGTGACTGGGCACTAGTCTGCGCGCGCGCGCGTGTGTGTAAAAGTGAATTGTAAAGCGTAGCCATGCGCTGTATCTAAGAGTCCAATAAATCCGATGATCAATCCAAACCCCGTCTATCGTCACTCCATCGCGTGACAATATTCTTTCACCCTAATGAATTACATATGAGGGTGTTTGAGAACAGAATTCTGAGAACCTAAAGAAGGACACTGCCGGTCACGGTAGCCGAGCGGTCTAAGGCGTGCACTGTTTTCGCTCGCTTGGAAACCGGGATCGTGAGTTCGAATCCCACTCAGGGCATGGATGTTTAGTTTGTGTGTGTGCGTTTCTCTGCATTTGTGTACAGGTAGAGGCCTTGCGACGAGCTGATCACCCGCCTAAGGAGTCCTAACGAATGTGTAAGAACTAGAAAAACCTAAGTGAACGGAGAAGTTCATGGAGGTAGGCCTAGGCCCACCGGGGCTGTAGTGCCAAGGGGGACAAAAGAGAAGTTTAACTACAAGTGAAAGCAAACTGCATAATGAGGAAGTAATAATTTGCACCCTTTGCCAAATATCATTAGAGCTATCGCATCAAAGTAGATGGGATGGAAGGAGAAATGTAGCACGCATGGAAGGAGGGAGATTTAGGCAATATTCTAGTCCGAAGTCTGAAGGGAAAATGTCACTTCCTTCCAGGTCTAGCCGTACAATGGAGAATAGTATCAAAACTGTTCTTGAATCTAAATTTTTAGACACCATGTGGTTATAGTCAAGAGCTTTCTTTTGTTTCTTTTCGCCTGACGTTCTACACAAGTATTATATATCTGTTACTAAAATACGTCTTCTAGTAAAGAATACATATATTTGAAGAAAGAAATGTGTTACACGTGCTGTTCATTAGGGTCATTAAGGGGCCCTTAGTTACGTTTTATTTCCGTAAGAATAACATGAACACTTCTGAAAAGTAAACCCAAACCCAACAGACGTTACTTCTCTTAGTATGGGATAAGAATTAGGGAGTCTCGCAACTGGAGGGAGGGAGGGAGGGAAGACAAAGGAAGCAGAACTACCAGCTTTACCAGCTACCATTGCCTTCTGTACTCCTGCTTTACCCATTCTTCAAACAACGAGCGTACGTGATTTCGCTCAGTGCAACAGCGACTTATGACGCGTCTATTGTCTGTGGCACTTGGCACATTCGTCTTGCTCCGCACTGACCACAGACTTGTTACGCTTTACGGAATTTCGTTAATGTATAATACCGTCATATACAGGGTGTCCCAGGAGGAAAGGTCAATATTCTGGGACGTCACAGTATCGGTCATTCTAAGCAACAAAATATATATGTACATGTATCCTATTCCGAACGGTTTCCGAGATAGAAATATTTCACTGTAAAATGTAAAGTTGTCCCAGTGCTTAACTAATTCAGCACTACGCCATGAAGGTGTACATTAGATGTATAATTCCACATATTCTTGACCTAGATATTAGAGGTGAGTGATCAGCTTCACGCCCCGGCCGCTTTACTCCCGGTACCAATTGAATTGGAGGTTGGGTGGACTCCAGAACCGGTCTGGACGCCGTGGGGAAAATTCTTGACCCTACCGGGACTGGAACTCCGATCCCTCGGTCGTCCAGCCATTCGCTATACCGACTACTCTATCCCGGTTATTTCACTGTACAGTTCCAAAATTATTGATAAGAAAGAGGTATTACATGCTGTTTCTAATACCGGTATTTATTGTTCAAGTGACGAATGTGGCGCAGTTTACCTAGTATAATGCATTTTTTAATATTCCACCGTCACCATCAACTTTACTCGGCAACTCGTGGGAGGACATGGCATGTTGCCGCTACTGCTATATTGTCCACTGCTGTACAGTAAAGTAGCTCTAGCTCTGAAACAGTTCGGAATAGGACACTTGTACATATACATTTTTTTTGGTTAAAATGACCGATACTATGACCTCCCAGCATATTGACCTTTCCTCCTGGGACATTTTGTATAATCACGTTTCGCATCAAAGCCGCACTCGTATGTGATGATACATGACCTAATTTGTGAGTACGTTATCATCCATCTTCACGCAAAATTTCATGCATCTAACACAAATGCTTGGTTGTTTTTTTTTTCTTGGCACCGCAGCCCCAGTGGGCCTAGGCCTACCTCCATANAAACTTCTCCGGCTTGATCGGTTATTGCCACGAAATCTGAAAAAGCACAAATTTCAGGCGTTGTTATTCTGTATTCTAGAAAGCACTGCCTTAAACTGAGTAAGTTCGACTTGAGGTTCTCACAGAGGTTGATATGAACTGTTCTAGGATATTACGCCGTCCCAGTGAATATCAACGGATGCTTCGGATAATATATCGCCTCCATCTTCAGTGTTGAAGTGTACGCCAAGCAAGAAACCAGCATCAAATAGGCTGCTGACGATGGATGCGATATGCTCCTCCGAAATGTTGGTGGACTTTTACCGGACTACACGGCGTTATATCCCAGGAGGCAATACTCTTCGAACGTTAACATTTGTCGAGGGTCTGCTGCCATACAGTTTCACCGCACCCTCACACAGCCGGGGCAATCACAGGGAACTTAGTAATGAAGCTAGTTACGGTTGGCAGGTCAGTGTTAACAACGACAACAATTCTGCGAAACTTGGAAACTTTGGAGAATTGAATCAAAGGGTGTGTAATTATGAAACCTCCACACAGAGTAAAGCAAAGTCTTATAGAAAGGTTACTGAGAGCAAGCAACCTGCCTGGATGATTTCTTTCCCATTGCGTTGGGTCTCAGCTTCTCTGAGCCCTGAACCCGCGGAACAGGCAGAAGGGTTTCGGAGACCCGTAACCTACTCACCTCACGCTCTGCACTACAAATGAGCCTACGTATAAAAATTTTGCTAGCAAGTCTAAACGTGTTTTTTTTTTCAAATATAAAAAATAACGCCTTTATATTGTATTAAAACCAAAGACGCGTAAAAATCATTCTTATTGGATAATAACAAAATAGAAATTACTTAGTGCTATGATCTTTCGGGATGTGATGTCGTGTAGTTCCGTACAAGTTCATCGACGTTTCGGAGGAATGTAATATAGTTTAGCTTACTGTTTATTATATTTTCCACCATGAAGATGGAGGCAATACTTTCCTTCGGAATGTCAGTGAACTTCTGCCCAACTAAAAGAGTCATATCCAAGAAAATACTCGTATTTGGTCTACTCTTTATAATCACCGCTGTAAGAACGTTAATTCCCCACCCCAAAATTATTAGCTAAAAGTAAAAGAAACCTTACTCTCTGTTTATAATGAAGTGTTCACCTGTTCTGAAACACATGTCTGTATAATTGATGCTAACCATAACATAAATTAAGTCATAGCCGAAAGCGATCCGCAGACCACCGGTTGATAAACACTGTCCTAAACATACGAGGTCCTGCCATTGGTTTTAATAAGAAATTTGCAAAATTTTTAAAATGAGTACGTCCCAACTCAAATAGCCGTGTAGCTCAAGTCTTTAACAATACCTGATGCGATTATAATAACAGTTGGTACTGTTTGAAGTCAGTTTTGTACCACTTTCGTATCATTTTCAGCTAGCGGATGAAATTTAAAAATAATTTATTACTATCATTATTCTCATATTGGAATACCCCTTACATGAAATTAACAAGGTGTAACTAAAAGACCTTGTCGAAAATTTTCGAAGAGATTTGCTAAAGAGAGGGTGTCGGCTGCAGAAAAATAACCTTCTTTTGATGAAATCGAAACGGTTCACTCACTCAATATATCATTCTTGATACGGAAAGGAAAGCTATTGTTCCATTGTGGTTCGGTTCCACCGCGGTGTTAACACTGTACCAACAGAGAAGTTAACACACAATAGAAGTCTATCAAAAGAACAGAACACTCAGGCAGTGGGAATGAAATACAAACACTTGGAAGTTCGCTGTTCCTGGTAAGCGAGCGCATGCGTCGTATGAAAGATATACAAACGAAACTAACAGACGAATCTGGTGTGCAAGATAAGCAAATGGAACTAAGAAAGGAATTTAGTATTATCAAAAGGAAATGAGCTTAGGATTCATCCAGCTACTTACTGAACACTTTGAAGACTGGGAACTCTTATAAAACACAAACACCTTCACACAAATTAAACATAACTCATAACTTAATCTGCATACCTGAATAATTTAAAGTTTAAAGTCTAGAGGAACATCCAGAAAGGATTCGGTACTGTTTGCATTTACAGTGTTTCTACAATTAGCCCCTTGTCACTGCTATTGCCAAACGGTAATCTCACTTTCTTTCCAGTCCCTGTCTTGCTGTTTGTTGAGGCAGTCTCGCTGCCAACCACTGGCCCACTGCCGCTGATTTTAATAATGGTCATTTGCAACCAGATCAGAGTAAGCTTCTGCACGCAACTCCTCACATGGTTTTACCTGCTGTACACACTTGTGGAACTTGGATTGCTACCGAAGGGTAAAGGTCTATCACTAAACGAAAATTTTTCTAGAGAAGAAACATCTTTAGATATTGAAGAAAGCAGTCTTCTGGGATTTGGCACCGTGTATATGTGGTGTTAACCGACGTTTCGGGGGAACGTATCGCCTCCATCTTCAGTGTAGAAGAAAAAATATAAGAAATCTGCAAGCCACGGTCTCTTCGCTTGCAGATTTCTTATATTTTTTCTTCTACCCTGAAGATGGAGGCGATACGTTCCTCCGAAACGTCGGTTAACACCACATATACACGGTGCCAAATCCCAGAAGACTGCTTTCTTAAATTAAACTGTGTCTGAGGGCTGAGGTTTTCAGGCCTGTGAATTAAGACTGGGGTCCTCTCGGATGTGACTCCATGTGATCTACCAGATTAGAAGACATGACATTCCTCAAGACCCTCAAGACCGCAGTGTTAGACTGGATATGTGGTCCTGCAAGTGGCTGCATCTCTGAGATCATACAGGCTTTTAATGGCAAAGACACGCGCAAGCGCATTAAAGAACGACAGATATGCCTCTTTATGGCATAGGGCACTAAAAGGGTCAATTTCCGGACGACAAATGCTAGCCGAATAGTTTATAATTCTCAGGTAGCGCTGTTCTCAGGGCTGTCAAGGGAACTTCAAATTGGAGTTCGTTGAGTAACACGTTGTTATGAAAACTGTTGACTCCTTATGTAAACTGAAATTGTTTCATAAATACTCGAAGCTGTTTGATTGAAAGAAAAAAGTGAACGCAAGAGTATTGCTTTTATTTTAAGTGGGCAGGTGATTTGTTTTCAAAATATATAGTACGCAAGAGATACATTAGTCCATACAGCACGGATAATTCTTCGTAAGATGAGGCACTGACTACACAATTAATTAATTTGCAACATAATGGACCTCCTATACATTCTTATATAAATGAAATATCGAACTTCCAATTGGTCCTTAGAAACATATGAAAAGTAAAAAATCAACGACCGATTCGATGTTGTATAAGATTAATTAAGTTTTATCTTGTTTAATGCATTAAATTTCAGTTTTTCATGTAATCTGACATTTTATTTTTACACAAAGTATTTTAACATTGTAGCCAAATCCCAGAAGACTGCTTTCTTAAATTAAACTGTGTCTGAGGGCTGAGGTTTTCAGGCCTGTGAATTAAGACTGGGGTCCTCTCGGATGTGACTCCATGTGATCTACCAGATTAGAAGACATGACATTCCTCAAGACGCTCAAGACCGCAGTGTTAGACTGGATATGTGGTCCTGCAAGTGGCTGCATCTCTGAGATCATACAGGCTTTTAATGGCAAAGACACGCCCAAGCAACTCCTCCCGCGACTGCATCCGTTCTGCGGTGGTATGACTCACGGCAAATTGCAGCCGCGGCGCGCACTTGATTGTACGCACTGTATATGTTTGTTAATATGTGTTTGCCTGATGATGGCCGTTAGTGGCTGAAACATGTAGCGAAGCCCTGATTCTTTCTATTTGTTGTGTTTTGTCGGTTAATAAAAGAGTTGTATAGATAAATTAGTATTGCTCACTAATCCATCAATCATCACTTCTCATCCAATATTCGGTAATTTTGCCTCAGAATTCTCTAAGTAGCTTCTCTCCTATTACTTGTATTCTTAATTCTGTAACTTACAGTATTGTCACGTGTCCGGGGTTCTGTGACGAATAACAGAGGGTTCTGGATTGGATGATTGGATTTATTATCACTTGTTTACAATTGCAACCAATTGTAACAGCCCACAACAATGACTGTCTGAAGCCCTCTCCATGCCTTACTGGCATGTCTCCTCATTTGCGTGACTGACTTTGTTCTGATTTACGAATCGGTCACTTCTTCGGCTTCCGCTGTCCGCTGGTTAACACTTCACAGCTAACGCTCAACTTCTGAATTCCCTTACGACTGCACCATTGAACTCTCTTACGAATGAATAAATGAATTCGCGAATGAATTATCTTTTATAATTCAATGCAGATCTAACAGTTAATCAGTTGTTCTGTGTTTATCCGTTGCTACGAAACGCGTTTCACTCTTGCAATAACGATCCGGCTCTCACGCGTTTACAACTTTTAGTTTTCGTATCCATGAAAACTTGCTCCGTAACTAACCAGATGGTTTCCAAGAATCAATCTCTCCGTGGCAACGCGCTTACCAGCTCGTTTCCGAGAAGTGGCCCAGCTTACATTATTATTATTATTAACATAATTCTTTATTTTGTTTTAATTTTTATTTAATTCTTAGGCTAGTTTCCATTTTTGTATATTCGTGCATTTGCAGTGCTTGCGTCCTATAGGCTAAATGCTGCTATCACTCAAGTAAAGGGAACCGAATTATAGGCTTATGTCAGGATGGGCAGATCAGACCAGAAAGACCGCCTATCGTCATTTCCAGTAAATACCAGGGCATTTCGCTAGAGGTAAGACGGCCACAACTTGAAATATACTGCTCATTTCTAATATAGTGCGAACATAATAATACTCGAAGCTTTACTTCAAAAGCATCACATATTTTATGGCGTGTTGTTTAATGGTACGGACTTTATTAACAATATTAATTATAATGTTATTGTTCCACTGATTAAGTGCTCTGGTCTATTCTGACTGAGAGTTGCACTGACTTGCACTTGCGAACTTTTTACACGCTGTATGACTCGCGTTTTTGGCTGGATTCTCACACAGTGGAACATCACTTTACAATACAGGATAACACAGAAGATCTTTGGACAAATATTCATCATTCTAAGAGATGTTTTTCACATCTTTTAAGATGAAAAAATCCCAACATAACGTACATTTTAAGCCAGGAAAGAGTTTACCATTTCTTCCCGCAGAGGCAGACGTTTCGATCTGACGCTCTGGTGCAAACGGTGCGGTGAGAACCGGCAGGAGAACTGAAGAAGAGCAGCAATGAAGCAACAGGTCTCCAAATTCGGTAGAATTTTATTTGCGTCAAACTGTGAAATATGGAAGAAGGGTAAAGGAGACGAAACACAGACCCAAACGATCAGACACGATCCTTAGCCGAGACGGAGTCTGCAGACCTCAATATCAGCGCAGTATCAGATGAATTGCAGCGTTTTCAATATTCAACTCAGAGAAGCAGCAGATAATGGAGTGTAAAATCTGTATTCTTGACCTCGGCACTACATGGAGGGCAGTGGTCAGTTTCACGCCCCAGGCGTTTTACCCTGCAGAAAGAGCCCTGGCATCCACGGGATATGAGTTTTGGTTGACCTCAGAACCGGTCTTGACGACGTGAAGAGAATTAAATCCTTGTCCCTACCGGGACTCGAACTCCAATCTCTCGGTCGTCCACCCTGAAACCAGTCGCTATTCAGCCACCCTGAGTAACTCAAGGTACTTAACCTTAACTAAAGACTTTCCCTTAGACTAGTTCAGGCATGTCCAAAGCGTCGATCGCGGGACGATTTTTCGTCGATCTCATAGGCCTATAAGGAAATTATACGTGAAAGCATGTAAATTCACTTGTAATATAATATTATTTTATTCAGATTTTGATGGGAAAATACGTATTAGTCATTCCTATTTTTCTGTTCTTATGTAGCTTACATGAAAATTGCTTTACACATGTGTTAAGTGAACTGTGGGGAAGTCCCTACTCTATCCTTATCACGTGAACTCTTTTTCATCACTCGTCGTTCGCCGCGTGTGTTCTGATGCAAGAGTGATCGACAGAACGTGTGATTCCCTGGAAATGATATGTGGAAACATAACTCAGCCGTTGTTGAAAGATGTTTCCAATTGTGTTGCTTTCTCCCTCCAACTGGATGAATCTACAGACATCAGAGACAGCCCAGTTACTAGTTGCTTTTACAGCAAATATCATGTGTCGTGTTATTTTTACCAATATTTTTGCTTAAAGCGAGGTACGACGATAGGAGGGGGTGGTAGATCACCGGCAGTTTTGACATTAAAAAGTCGATCACAACCTGTTTGAAGTTGGACATGCCTGGACTAGTTCATAGTTTAAAAGGTAAAGTTGTCCCTGTCCTTAACTAATTAAACAATACACCATGAAGGCGTATGGGGGAGTGGGTGTATAGGTTCACATTTTCTTGACATCGGCACTAGTTGGGGGTGAGTGGTCAGCTTCACGCCCTGGGAAAGAGCCCCCGGTATCCATTGGATAGGTTGGAAGGGCCCCAGAGCCGGTCTGGACGACGTGGAGCCCGTAGCTAGTCGCTATATTGACTACACTATCCCGGCTCACAAGTCATAGTATAACAATTATTAATTGTTGTATCTCGGTTTCTGAAGTCGGATAATTAAGATATTCAGCGAGTGGCTCTCTGATTTAGAATGACTCAACTGACTGAAAATTCGAATGAGGTTCGTGCGTGAATGCTTGTTCGTGATGTTTTTCTTCGAAGACTTTCAACTGTTTCGAGTCAGAAGTCTGAATACCCCACAACAATTCAAGCCATCTGTGAGGTCATGGAGCGACCACCCTTGCTTGTTCCCCTGCAGTGACAAATTGCTGACAAACTGTCAACCCCCGGAGTTTGCACGCGATGCCTTTAGACCTTTAAGAACATAACATATGCTCGCTTTGTTTGGCTCTCGAACTGAGGCTTGTAGCTTAAAAGATACACTTTCGGAGACTTTCTTATCCGAAACAAGCAACGACTCCTGCCGAATAAACACGAGCTCCTCTCTCAAGAATAAGATCTGTCAGCCTGGTAACAATGCCTGTTCAGTGGGTCGCACTCCAGGATTCAAAGTCAGGTCTTTTCCTGTTACAGATTCATGCCTAACAAACCAGTTTTTTTTTTTGTTTCTTAAAGTGAGATGAGACTCAGTCCATTTGCTACGTCGAACACCGACTGGCCTATTGAACCAGCCCCGGACGATAGATTGAGTGTGGAGCAATCGGTGGAATGGAAACTGGTAGAGGAAATCGAAGTATTCTGAGAAAACCTGCTCCAATGCCACTATGTCTACCACAAATCCCACATGACCTGACCTGGGCTCGAACTTAGGTCGCTGCGGTGCGAAGTCGACGATTAACCGCCTGAGCTATGGCGCGGCCGCAGTAAAGCAGCTGACTAATGGTCATCATGGAGCAGTACTCTTCTTGAGAATTTCGTAGCTGTTCAAGATTCGCAAAGTGCTCTGGAACCCTAAGCTGCTTAACGTATGCTCAGCAGCACGACAGGAGTCCCTGTCTTTAGCCCACATCCCCCCACGCTTCTTTCTTACGATCCATTTTAGAATTATCCTCCCATATACGACTGTGGCTTCCAAGTGGAGCCTTCACCTCAGATTTTCCGACCACACATTTTTATGCATTTATATTCAGTTGAAGATATTGTTCATAAAGTGTCACTAATATTTGTTTCGAGTTATTTTTATAATAAATATATTAAGTGGATAATATTTAAATATTCGGACAGCAGGAAATTTTAACGATCAAATGACCAATCAGTGCAAATTAAAAGTGAAAAGGATGACACTCTGCACAAGCGTGTATATGATAAAATGGGTTGGACATATAGCACGCATGGAAGAGCCGAAAAGTCCACACCTTGTCGGAAAAATTGAAGGGGAAAGACCATCTCGGATTCCCAACAGCGATTACCGTACCGCCTAATAACATTAATCTATATATTAAAAGAGTTAAGGAGTGACGGTTGAGCACGGCAACAAATCTGGGAATGCATAAAAGCGGTGAGTATCTTGAGGTGGAAAGAAGTTTTTCCCGCTATAAGGACATCTTACGAGACAATAGGAGGCGACTAACTACGGAAAACCTAAAACATTTAGTAATTGTGAACTGCAACAGAAGAGAAGTTGAAAGTTCGGAGAGCTAAATGTGAGTACCATTGGTTTTTTAAATTTGTAATGAAATATGTTGGCTTTCTTCCATGATTTATATTTAAGTATAGCTTTTTATTTCAAGTGAATCATTCAGTGATTACATAAAATGAACTTACATATTTATTTGTTTTTCTTAAAATAATGTAAAATCAATTTTAATATTTGGTATAAATTTTTATGTGCATGTTTTAGTGCATATTTCGGAAGTTTTTCATGCATACATATTTAAGAGATTATTAGGGCATAAGAATCCGGTCCCTAGTTATAAAGAATATCCTCAGATCGGTTGTCGTATTGCTTTACATACGAGTAAGCCTGATTCTGTCAACGCATTTGTGGTACGTATATGTATGTATAGGATGAACAATGTTTCATTTGCTTTGGCTGTCCCACTGTTGGTGCAAACCCGCAAAGGAAACACAGGCCAGGCGTGTCTCTAAGACAAATGATGTACTGCACCTGTTGCGCCGAGTTCTTTAGCACGTGTGTTATTTTACAGCAAGAACATTCCTACATTTCATTGTTGTCTATCCTTTACAACTGCCTATTTTCGCTCCACTGTTTAAATACATCCTGCTATAAAAGCAGTAAAAACAACTTCAAAGAAGCTGCGGAAGCTATCGGCTACAGAGAAGTTTCACTCTCATGAAACAACTGTGCATCTAACCGCCTATTAATCAGTAACAGCGTAAACACCAAGCAGCTAAACAACTTTCCTACTTAACGGTCCCTTCTTAATAACGTCTTACAGTTCGCATGTAAGCAAAGCGTAATAAGAAAGAGGAGCGCTGCTGGTTTCGTCAGTAAGTGACTGACTGCAGCTGTGTTTCTCAATGTTATTATACCATCAGCACAGTATTTTATCAACCTGAAATTGCTGGCACACGTGGGTCTCAGAGGTGTGGGGCACCCCCACGTGAGAATGGAGTAGGATTTCGAAAAAGAAAAAATAGAAACACTCTCATTCAGCTACGTCATCATAAAAACATTACATCTGAAAGGTAGTGGGTTTCTCATGGAGCAGGGGTAGCTCACTGGGAATACCAACGGGCTAGTCTGGGCCGCCGAGGAATCAGGGTTCGATTCCCGGCAGGGCAAGAGGTATTTCTTTTCTCCAAAACATCCAGACCGACTCTGGGGCCCATTCAGCCTCCTATGCAATGGATATCGGGGGCTTATCCCCAAGGTAAATCGGCCCGGGCGTGAAGCTGACCGCTCACATCCATCTAGTGTAGATGTCAAGAATGGTGGAACTATACCTCCATTTCCCATATGTCTTCATGACGCATCGCTTGATTAACTAAAGCACAGGGACAAATTTAATTTTATCTCCAGGTTCGTGTTGTTAAAGGACGATAATCGGAGATGATATAGATTGAAAGGTATCTATTCACTTGAGATTTTTAACAATTTTCATGAAAAGTAGATACCAAAGAGTTTCGACCATGGTATATAACACTCAAAATTCATGGTGATTTGGACTTTGTCAATCGTCTGGTATTCAAGAAACTGGAAAAGGCAACGCTTCGGAAATTGGATCTCTTTCCGTCCTCAGATGAGGGGGAAGACACCTACTCAGGTCCCTTAGAAAGAGCTAACCTCGATCACTGGACAACCCCTGTCAGATTCAATACAGCTATTCAATTACCTAATGAAGACTGACTTGGAGCTTGCCAGCCATTACAGAGTATGTACTGAATGTTTTTGTTCAGGTAGTAGTTGCTGATTCAAGCTGCTGCTTCTCTTTAATGGTCCCAATTTCTTGCACTTCTCACAGCTCTCAAGATTAGAGCCTTGTACTGTATACACAGTTCTGACTGGGAGGTATCTTAGAAAGAATTCAGTTGGAGATGAGAGGGTAATATGAAGTCAGGACTGAGGGCAGAAGGGGGATAGGACTGCACCTGGAGTGTGTATAATTGTGGCTTTCTATTTAGAGATATTGAACTTTCGGGGTTTGCTGTCATACATCGCACCGAGGTTCACTTTACGTGCTTGGTGTGCAAATATACAGAATCTAACAACAAACGCTTACCTTTGATGGCGCTTCGAGGATTGTGTGGGCATTGGGTACCCTGGCAGCCTCTCTTCTGGATCAGTGATGGGCAATGTTTGCCCCCATTTTCTGGCTGCTTTTCTACGGTTCTCGACCGGGTCATCATGCCAGTACCACACTCCACATCACACTCTGACCAGGGTCCCCAGGCAGACACCGCGCAGTCAACCACTGCAGACACAAAGCAGGAAACAGCAATCAGCACATAGTCCTAGTCTGTAAAACGTTTCTATGCGTTTCCCATCCAGGCACACTCATTTTATTTTGTACTCTTAAAGCACCCGAGGATAAAATCAAGACAGAGATTTCAAAATAAGCGTAAAGCTTCCCTACAGCTATATAAAAACAATATTGTCCCTGTGCTTAACTAATTAAGCACTACGTCATGCAGGTGTAGGGAGGAGTGGATGTATAAATCCACGTTTCCTTGATCTTGGCACTAGCTGGAGGTGAGTGGTCAGCTTTACGTCTCGACCACTTTACCGCCGTTGGTGAATAATGAACTGAAGATAATTTAGAAGCAAGCAACTGTGTCCTAATCGAGGTACTAGTAGGCATTTGTCTGGAGGGACTTAGGAAAACCATAGAAAACTTTAGGATAATCGATGTCGCGGTTGAAATTCGAAAACGGCACCTCCAAAATACTATTCTACAGAGTTTCCGCTGCACCAATCTGCTCGGTTTAAGTCTGAGTTGTATACATCAACTAGTGTTCTAGCCCTTTCTGGGGGAGAAGCACAGTACCTAGTCTCCACATCAATGAGTGCTCGCAAGTGCATTTTCAGAATGCCTGTTTATTTTCCAGTTCCACTTTCATTTAATTTTATATTCAAGTTCATTCAAATAAAATGAAGAAATGCGGTCTTGTGGTTGGTAATAACTTGTGTCACAATAACAAGCTTTAATTTATATGTAAATATGTGTTCTACAATACGAAATTCAATAGGGACCAAAACACCATCCACGACAAACAACAATAACAACAAAAAATGACACGGGTTACTGGCAACATGTACAAACTAGATAAACAAGGTAGAAACATGACCTCATAGGCTCACTATTTGTACACTCTTTACTATATACACTCTCGTTTGTCTCCCACTGCACACTTCACGCCCACACGTATTAACACTGGACAGTTCGTTGCTATAGTAACTGACTACGGTAATGATACACGTGAAGCTTACAAAACTCCTTTATAAGAATATTTCTTTTGGGCAGGGGTAAAAGCTAAAAGCTATTCCTGTAACAGGCCGTGAAGGCCCGTACGATTGTGAGTCGTCGAGGCTCCCACATTAACTAGACAAACGGCTCACAGATGGCGGTAAGTTTGTCAGCTTTACGCGCTCACCGTCCTTTACCCGCAGGAAGATTCCTGGCACTCATTTCTGTTAGAGGCTGAGTCGACCCCAGGGCAATAGTGCGGCTGGAAGCATTAGGCTTTCACATTGAAACAACAGGCCGCCGAAACAAAAACAAGGACGGCCGAAATATATACTGTTCGGACAATTGGACGACGCCCTAGAGAGGTGTAGGAAATGTACAAAATTTAAGAAGAATAATTAAAATTTAAAAAATTTTAAATTTAAATTGAATTTTAAAAATAGAAATTGAGTCACAGTACATGGTGGACTGACTAATGTTAGCTACATCGTAACTACAACATTAATGTGGAACAGTGCAGTTACACGTGAAACGTATGACCGATATTCAATGCAGGTAACAGTTTTGGCGAATTGAAGTACCTGATGAAAGAGTGAAAATTCTAAGGAATAAAGTGGTTGCATTGTTGACGGAACTGTAATAAAAATATTCTATGTGAATGTTATAGAAACACAACAGGATGCTTAAATACAATATTGTAAATTGAAAAAGTCTACCTCATTGGGGCTCGAACCCGCGAACTTTCGGCTTGTAACAGGGGTGGAAAATTTATTTGGTACGGCGAGTTGCGATGTAGAAAACTTTGAAATATTCGTGTGGAATTCGGTTCATTCGAAAGGGGCTGGAACGCAAGCCGTAGAACTCTTGGGCTCACTTCTGTGTGTGTGTTGCTCTAGCTAAGTAATGGCTTTGTTCGTGTCTGAACACAGACTTGCGCCTCATTAAAGCACGCATTGAAATACTGAACGAAGCCAATTGAGTGCAGGCCGCTGTTGATAGGGGCCACTGAAGTAGACAGCTGCAGCAGAGTCGTTTGGAATGTGACATTGCAATTGCAATAACGCATTCATTTCAAGAGACAAATCAGTGTCGTGTTATTACGATGAAAGAAGAAAAGTGTGGCACTGAAATACAATGCATCTAAATCTAAATTCACAAAATTAGACAACATATAATAATAATAATAATAATAATTAAATTAAATTCGTATTTATTTACATGCAAACTGAAGAGCCCACGGTCAACTGCAAAGTGAACACGAACAAAAAAGAAAGAAAAAAAAACACACAGAAACAAAATACAAAAAAAGAAAATCTATAGGCTACACTATTATAATATATTAACCTTGCGACGAGCTGATCACAACCTCGACACCAAAAGGTATAAGAGGAACGGATTAAATAAGTAATATATTAACATTTATTATTATTATTGGGGACACGCGACAGCGTAGTTGGTTGAGGCACTGTGTTATAAGCCGGAAGCTCGCGTGTTCGATTCTTGATGTCATTTGATTTTTCAATTGCCCTAATCCTTCCAGTAGCACTATGGCCCAGGGATCGACTCAACCTCTAACAGAAATATGTACCAGGAACATTTTTCGGGGGGGGGGGGGTAAAGGGAGACCGGCGCGTAAGGCTGACGACCTCACCGTCATCTGTGAGCCGACTGTACAAAATGTGGGAGCCTTGTCGTCTGAAAACCCCATGAGCCTCCACGGCCTGTTACAGGGATAAATTTACTTATTATTATTATTATTATTATTATTATTATTGTTATTGTTATTGTACGGACAAATAGTTAAGCAATCTCAACAGAATGGATAGTGACACTCCCACAGCTTCTGTTTATGTGCGTAGAAGCTTAAGTATGTTGAGCACATAAGAGATGGCCACGAAGCCGGAACAGGCATGGGCCTAACACGTGATGAGCAACAGCAGTTGCGCAAGAAGGCAGCTGTGGCAGTACCCACTACTAATAATTAAAGTAAATGCAGAAGTACGTGTTGGTCGGAAGGAACAGGAAAAGGAAGAGAATCATGATGATGTACTTTCTAGTGTTTGTAAGCTTCAACCAAAGAATACCGACACAAAAGAGGTACTGACCTTCCTGTTCTCTGAACTAACAAGAGTCACTTATAATGTGGCACATACATGGTACTTTCAAGCATAAGAGATAGACGCTGTCAATATCTGGGTAAATGGCCTTCTTGAACACAAAGCAGCAAGGCCGTGGCTGTGACTAGGAGAGGAGAACAAGAGTGACATATGGGACCGCTTATTTCTCCTTATATTATGTAGCTGCAAGAATTTTAAACAGATTCTAAAGGGTTCTGACGATGGTGGATAATACACAGAATTACTGAGTTTTTGGAATTTTTTTCCATCGTCCGGAATTCTATGAAATAGAAAACACGACGTTTCGGGAACTGGATCTGTTTACGTCTTCAGGTGAGGATGGAAGACACCTATTCAGTTGGGCCCCTTATAAAGAGCTGATCTCAATCACTGGACAACTCCTGTCAGATTTACCCAGCTATTTCAATTTTAAAGTATAAAATTTTGTGATACATTTCTGTCACTAGTACGGATGCTGACTGTATTAAATTTTAATGACGTAACATAAAAGTTTCGTGTCGTCATATTCTTAATTAACATATAAAATATGTTGTAAATAATTTGTAAGTGTTTCTTAACGAGATTTAAGAAGCACATATATAAGACTGCAGACTCGTGAAACTGGCATTTTTCTTTCAGAAAAAAGCTTAGAATGAGTGGAGGTTTACTTTCCGTCTCCTATACGTCTTCGTGTATAGGCACAGAGATATCGTTCACATTTAGTTGAGAAAAGATATCATGGAAATCACATACATTGAGGATCTTTACGTGAAATGTAGCTTAGATCAGCGGTTCGCAATCTTCTGTAATTCATGGACAGATTAGGCCTAAAGTATCAATATGTGTTTTCAAGGCCCGGTGCAACCCGCCTCGCGCTATGCAGTGCAAATAATAATTAGTTACAAATAACTATGAATATCCGGTCTAAACACGTTTATTTTTCCTTGGCACTACAGCCCCAGTGGGCCTAGGCCAACCTCCATGAACTTCCTAAACACGTTTATGTAACTATTGTTTTTTTATTGCTAGAGGGGTGGGACTAAGTTCTTTGTACTGCGGCCACTTCTGGCCTTTTGTAACAGCCCCAGATGATAGGTGAGGGTGATTGTGGAGCAATTGCTGGAATGAAGATTGGCAGGGGAAACCGAAGTACTCGGAGAAAACCTGTCCCAGCGCCACTTTGTCCACCACAAATCCCAGTTGACCAGACCCGGGATCGAACCCGGGCCGCCGCGGTGGGAAGCCAGCGACTAACCGCTTGAGCTATGGCGCGGCCTTTATGTAGCTAACTACACGGAGATAAATCTTCGTTGCCGAAACAACAATCGCTCAGCTACTAAATGAATTCCCTGCTTTTTATGGAATTGAACGTTCATTTCCTTGTTCACACACTGGACGCTGTTCAGATAAATCCACTCCACATCCTCCCACGCCATTCCTTAAAGATTCCTACAAAATATGCCTGTTATCCTTTCATATAAGAAAAAAGGTCAATTTTCCCTGTGCTTAACTAATTAAGCACTGCGCCATGAAGACGTATGGGGGAGTGGATGTATAGACCCACACTATATTGACTTCGGCACTAGCTGGAGTTGAGTGGTTAGCGTCACGCCCCGACCGCTTTACCCCCGGGAAATAGCCCCCGGTACCCATTGTATAGGAGGTTCGGTGTAACTCAGACCCGGTCTGGACGATTGGAGAAGTGAAAATTCTTGACCCTACCGGGACTCATACTCTCTATACCAGCTCTATCCTTTCATATATGATATCAAAAACGAAGAAATATCGTAATCAGTCAAACCGAACATTACAAATTAAAAATTAATCGCGAGGACATAAGAAATAATGTAAGAAATCTCAGGTCGGTAGACAGAAAAGAAAATAGTTGTA